TTAACAGCAACAACCACAATCCCTTTGTGGAGTCCTGGAGTGGCATTGTAGGATAAAGCACTGGACTGAAAGGTTGGTTTGAACCTCAAGGTCAGCAATTCAAACTAACCAGCAGCTCCTTAGAAACCCTATACAAGCTCGCTATGAGTTGGAACTGACTCAACGGCACTTAACAACCACCACAACAATCCCTTTTCCTGGACCACGGGCAGAAGTTGCTTAGGCTCAAAAAGGAAACAGGCTTACTTAAATCAGGACTTCTCAATCTTGGAAGTGTTATTAACATTTTGACCAGATAATTTTCTGCTATCCATATATGTATTATAGAGGATGTTTGTTGGTATCATTTGCTTCTTTTCACTAGATTCCAGTAGCAAGTGCCGCACTCCCTCACCCAGGGGAGACAATAAAAATGGTCTCCAGACATTTGCCAAATGTTCCTGGGGAAAACTCTCTCCGCATACTCCACCCCAAGAAAACCACTGATACATGCTGAAGCATCCAAGTCCAAGGTTAACTTGATTTGCTGCTAACTGAAAGATTGTGCATTTGAATACACCCAGAAATGTGTAGGAGAAAGTTCTGATGATCTACTTTGAAAACTCTGTGGAGCAAAGTTCTACTTTGACACATACAGAGAATCAGGATGACGGCAACCATTGTTCATTTCCTTCAGAGTGACAAGAAAGGAGGAGTGTGGGGGTGAGGGCAAGTGGGGGTAACTCACATTGTAGGACCGGCCGTGCCTCTGCCTCCACTGGACCAGCACGACCTGTGCGATGGCTAGAGCACAGAGGAAGATCAAGATCATCTCCACGTGCATGGACTCGTGGCCCCGATGCACCTTGTACATCCTCTCCTGCTGAAGGCTGGAACCGGCAAAAGAAACCATCTGAAAAAGCCCTTGACTCTTGCACATTTAGCAAACAAACACACACACACACACATACAAACAGACTCACAGGAGGCAACTGGAGGTTTCAACAGTGGGGGTTATTAAGCTTTAATAATAGATGATTGTTTAAATAATTATTTCTTGGTTCCTTATATGCTCCAGGTTTAGGAAAGGCATAGGTGAAAGGAAAAGCCTAGTTCTATCTGCAAAACAAATTCCTCCCAACCCTTCGCTTTCTGGTTGGTTTTGTCTTCAGCTTTGTCTTTTCAAACTCAGGAATGGAGCTGAGGGCACTAATCACCAAAGACTTTAGCTCCAGTCCTGGATCTGCTACTTAATCACCTCGCAACCTTGGGAAGCCACTGATCTCTTGTGAGACTTAGTTTTCTCATTTGCAAATTTAAGGTATCTCCCCCTTTGTATCTCATAGACTTATAAAACTGAAATGAATATGTGATTTTATTTGTACCTATATCATGAAGTCCTGGTGTGGTGCTGTAGGGTAAACCAAAGGACTGCAAACCTGAAGGTTGGTGGTTCAAATCCACCAGCTGCTCCTCATAATCCCTATAAAGGATCACATTGAGTTGGTACCAACTCAACAGCACTAAGCAATGAGAACATATCAGGAATAACTATAATTATTAGGAGGAATCATATAAAATTGCCATTTTTGAAAGTAAAAAACAATTGTTGTTAGGTGCCATCGGGTTGGTACTGATTCATAGCAACTTTATGCACAATAGAATATTAATAATTTCAAGTAACTTCCAAGATTTTCAAGTCAAAAGATACACTGCAATGGCACCTATGCAGAGGAGAGTATATTGTTCTTGGGGCTATGCAAAGTTCCTGAGCCAGTGTATAAACTGTTCTCATTACAAGGAGAAAGTATTGGTCCACGCATTATCTTGTTGTTATTGTTAGGTGCTGTTGAGTTGGTTCCAACTCGTAGTGACCCCATGCACAGCAGAACAAAAACACTGTCTAGTCCTGTGCCATCTTCATAGTTGCTGCTACGTTTGAACCCATTGCTGCTGGGGGGCGGGGGGTGGTCCTCCTCTTTTTCACCGACCCTCCACTTTTCCAAGCATGATGTCCTTCCCAGGTACTGGTACTTCCTGATAAGTATGATTTTAGACCTGCACAAACGTTCGGATGATGGTTGAATGTTTCCATTTATGGTTGGACTTCTATTTTGTACAACGGTAGAGAAAGTCACTAAGATGCTCTATCATCTGGTTTAATGCCCTACAGCAGAAGTGGCCTTAAAGAAAGGCTATAACAGTCCTTCTCAACGTTGGTAAAAAAGCAAAACTCACTACCATCAAGCCAATCCAACTCACAGCAACTCTACCTCAGAAGTTGTAAATGTTTATGGGAGCTGAGAGCCTCACCTTCCTCAGAGTGTCTGGTGGGTTTGAAGCGCCCACTTGCCAGTTAGCAGTCCAGTGTTTAACCTACAGCACTACCTGGGCTCCTTCCATCTTGGCTGTTGTTGTTGCTGTTAAGTGCCGTTGAGTCAGTTCCGACCCATAGCAATGCTGTATAGGGTTTCTGAGGAGCACCTGGTGAGTTTGAACCGCCAATCCTGCAGTTCAAACTGACCTTGTGTTTGAGTGCTTATCTTACATCACCATACCAGGGCTCCTTGTTGTTGTTGTTGTTAAGTGGCATTGAGTTGTTTCTGACTCAGTGATCCAGTTTAGGGTTTCTAAGGAACAGCTGGTGGGTTTGAATTGCTGGCCTTGTGGTTCACAGCCCAGTGCTGATCTTGCAGCACCACACCAGGACTCCTAGAAGGTATAAATTATTGGGTACAACCTAAACAACCAAACCTATTGCTGTGGAGCGTCCAACTCACAGTGACCTGTAGGACAGGGGAGAACTGCCCATAGGGTTTCCAAGTCTAGAATCTTTATGGGAGCCAACTGTCATATCTTTCTCCCATGGAGCAATTGGTGGTTTCAAACTGTCAGCCTTACTGATAGCAGCTGAGTACTTAACCATTGTTTCACTAGGACCTAAAAATCTCAGTACTCAAGTCATACTCCCTATCAATTAAATCATAATATCCGGGCACGAGGCCCTGTATCAGGAGTCCTGGTGTGGCGCTGTGGGCTAATGCGTCAGACTGCAAAGTCGTTTGAACTGCAAGGTCGGTGGTTCAAGCTCACCAGCTTCTCCTTGGAAACCCTATACAGGGTCGCTATGGGTTGGAATTCACTCAATAGCACTTTACAACAACAACATGATTCTGAGGTACAGCCAAGAAGGAAGGAAGAGAGGCCCAGGCTGAAAATTAAGAAGAAGGGGAGGAAATCATGAATTCTGACAAATATTAACTAAATATGAGCACTATCTTTCAGGCCCAGTGGGGCACCATCAGTCACAAAATGTCTAAAAGTGAAATTTCCACTTATGATTAGTTACAGTGCAGTTAGTTAGTGTACATGTTAGAAAACACTGTAGGATAATATTCTGCTTCACAGACTGTAAGCTTTGAAAGGTGTTTGTTGGCTCTGTGCTTTGGGATCTTTCTCTTTGCCAGCGTTTTTTACAGCTTCTTTGAGGAGCAGAGAAAGTAGAGTGCCTCAGAAAGGGCCCCATCTAAATCCCAGGGGTGCCCCCTGCTGGAGAAGGTGTAGAAATGAGTCCAAGGAGACTAGTAAATCATTCCGGCTTGAGTTCAATTTTGCTGAAGGGCTGGAGGGGACCATTTGTTATTGTTAAGTGCTGTCTATTTAATTCTGACCCATAGCGACCCTGTATAGGGTTTCCAGGGAGCAGCTGGTGAGCTTGAACCACCAACCTTGCGGTTCAAACGATTTTGCAGCTTGAAGCATTAGCCCCAGCGCCACACAAAGGGACCATAGATGTACTGAAATCTCTTTATTTTTCAAATGGAAAAGCTAAAGTTCAGAACAGATAAGCGACCGGAATAAAATCACATGATATTAGCCTTTGCATTGGAAGGTGAGTGCTGGAGACAAGAATGATTTGCAGAAACTCATAAAAAAATATATATATATACTTGTTCCCCTGAATAAATGGGAAAGGAAGAAAAATAAGGATACAAGGATATAGTTATGGCTTTTACAGCCCCAAATCAGAAACCACTACTTAATATTCAATGTCATAAATAGGTTTTCAAGTTAGAGAATGTAGATAGAAGAATAAATTTACCATCAGCCCAAAATAGGACTTAATTTATATGTGAAATAAAACATGCTTTATAATATCAATCAATGGACTCCTGGTGTGGCACCATAGGACCACCACTGGACGTTGAACCACAAGGTTGGCAGTTCAAGCCTTGAAGCCCACCAGCCTTTCCTCGGAAACTCTATATAGGGTCGCTATGAGTTGGAACTGACTTGGCAGTGCTTAATAACAACAACAGCAAATACGTGTTGCTGTTGTTGTTAGGTGCCATTGAGTCAGTACTGACTCATAGCGACACTATGCACAGCAGAACGAAACACTGCCTCATCCTGGGCCAACCTCACTATTGTTGCCACGCTTGAGTCCATTGATGCTGCCACTGGGCCAATCCATTTTGTTGGAAGTCTCCCTCTTTTTCTCTGACCCTCCACCTTACCAAACATGATAT